CCGTGGCGCACTCGGGAGAATGCGGCGCTGGGAGCACAGCGGTGCTCCCACTGCGGGTTTGGATCCTATATAGGGATGGCCGGTGCGCTCACTGGCTGAGCGCGGTGTGGGCGACACCAAGCCAAGGGTTGCAATTCCCTTACTGGTCACAAAAAAAAAAAATCATTGTGGACCAAGTCCCCCAACCCTTGTTCAGAGGAGGAAGGACAAACATCCCCACATCAGTAATTTCCATACTCTTGCTCCAGGTGTGTTCCAGTTTTGTTTTCCCCATTGTGGACCAAGTCCCCCAACCCTTGTTCAGAGGAGGAAGGACAAACATCCCCACATCAGTACTTTCCATACTCTTGCTCCAGGTGTGTTCCAGTTTTGTTTTCCCCCTGGTGCCTTATATGTATCAGGAACTCAAACAACTTGGATGAATGCTTGAAATCTCATGCTTTTCAAGTTTATAATCTTAATAATCTTTTTATATAAAACCATAGGACATTATAGTGATGGGGACTTTAGAATCTATTCTAAGTCCGTCACTTTGCAGACTCAGAGAAGTGATTTGCTTAGCTAGTGACAGAATTAGGACACAAACTGGGTCCTGGCTTTCTACTCCAGAACTCTTAACACTGCACCAGATACCTCCAGTGACAGGCACGGGAAGGTGAATCAGATGCTCTATTTAAACATATGGGCCAACAGTTGTGACATTCAGTGTCCTGACATACTGCAGGTGGTGGAGAAGACCCAAAGACTCCTCTAGCTACCAGCCATTGGTGCTAGTGCCCATTCTCTGGTGTAGAAAAATCACTTCAAAGGGGGGAAGAACAAGAATAAAAGTCACATTAAAGATATGAATGGGGCTTCTTAGGAAGTAAGCAAGAGAGTAGAGCTGTGGGGGTCAGAGCCTATCCATGGTTAACCACTAGTGTTAGCATCTGGGCTATTTCTCTTTTGGAGGAACCCCCTCAGGTATTCCTTTTACTTTGTCCACAGGCCCCAAGGATTAGTCTTCAGCCTCCCTTCCAACTGTAAAGATCTACTCATGCAAGATGGGTTTCATAATACCTGTAGGGAATTGGGAAACTGAATATTGTTTCATGTAGCATTTTCTTATTCTCTTATCCATAAAGCAAGTCGTGTGGCCTTTCAGGTCTTTTCCAAAATTTACGCAAGTTAGAAAAGAAAACTGAGGGAAAAAATAATTCTCATTTTGGACACTTCCCCCAGTAAAGTTAGTATATCTACAGTAAATAGTGAGTTTGATGACTTGAAATAAGATTACATTTCAGAGGAAATCCGAGATTTGGGCTATTCTTCTGATTTCATCCTAAGAACTGGAGTGAAGTTCTGGGAGAATAACTGAGCTGAGGGGAAGGAAAGGAGATGTCTGGATTTGAGGATGTCACAGGCGGTAGTACCCCCGAGGCCGAGGGACCAGTGCCGTGGAGGGAAGCAACACAGACAGGCAGTTCCCCTTTTCTGCTTCCCTTTCTCTTCATCATGGCGGTCCTCCCAATACAGACTCCTCACCAGACAGAGATCTGAGGTGAGATGAAAAGTGAACCCTGGGTCAGAGCACAGGCCCCAGCAGAATATATGTAAGATGAAAAAAGGCAGAGAAAGGAGGACTAGAAAAAATGCAAGCCAGAAACAGCAAGGAAGAAAGGGCTGCTAAGGATAAGCATAAGTATAAAGTGCATAAAGCTGAAGAACTACCTGTAATGAAGCAGAAACACTGGACCTTTACTGAGCCATGTAAAAAAACCTCCTTGATTCTTAATTTTGTGTGATTGTGGATACTTTTGCCAAGGATGGTCAAATCTTAATAGCATTAGACCGGATATTTCGGTGGCAAAATGTAAACAGAATAGCATAAAAAAGAGAGTTAGACTTACATCTCGTCCATTAAGGCCGGCAAGACCACGATCACCTTTTTCTCCTTGTTCACCCTAGAAATAAACAAGTTATATGGTGAAAAATGTTCTATTTGAAAACCTTTACTAAGAAAAAACAGAGGAGTTACATCATTTGGGTATTTATAACAATGTGATTACTTTGCTAATCCCTTGGAAGAAACATTTATTAAAAAACAGTTCTGGGTCCTAAAACCAAAGAGAAGTTTAAAGGTTCAAAGAAAAGCTGCATAAAAATGATTAAATGGTAGAAAAAGAACAAGGATTATTTATTTTCTTCTATAAGCAACAAAGAACTTTCTGGAGGGAAATCTGGTAATACATATTAAGGATCTTAAATCTGTTCAATTCAATTAGCCCAGTGATTTTTGTTCTAAAAATGTATCCTAAAGGGATTATCAGAGATGAAAAGTTTTAGGCAATAATAGGGAACTGGTTAAATAAATTATAGTATATAGATAACAATAGATCGACTATGATACAGCTATTAAAATCATGTTTATAAATTTTATTTTATACTATAAAATTCTCTTGATATGAAAAGTAAGATACAATTAATGAATTGACAAATTCAGTGGATAAATGTTAACCAATATCTATTTTTATTATTTTAAAGTTACAAATGTTCACGGTTTATAAATTTTATTTTATACTATAAAATTCTCTTGATATGAAAAGTAAGATACAATTAATCAATTGACAAATTCAGTGGATAAATGTTAACCAATGTCTATTTTTATTATTTTAAAGTTACAAATGTTCACGATGGACGCTAATATCATTGTGGATGACACATATCCATAGTGACATGTATTTTTGTTTGGTTGCAATTTGAAAGGTGTATACTTTTATTGGCACACCCTGCATATTTATAGCATAATCCAATTTTTCAAAAGTGTCTGCCTATCCATCTATGTACCTACCCACCTGGACATCCACCTATCTACATGTCTTATACACAATACTGAGACAAAACAAACCAGAACAATAAAAGTGGTTTATCTATGCATTCTGTGATGTGGATGATTATTTTCTTCACTTTATTCTTAGTGTTTTTCGATTTTTTTTAGCAATAAACATGCATTATCTATATAATCAGTAAAGTGTTTAAAAATAAAGAATATGCTACATACAGAAAACTCAACCAAGTCTATCACAGTGTGTGTGTATTTATGTGTGCAGTAATAGTCATCTCTGTTTTGTGCCACTAGGGTGACTTTTATTCTCTTCTTTATATTTTCTGTTATTCTTCCTTCATTTTTTTCTACAGTGGACATTATTACTTTATTTGGGGGGGGGAAAGCAAGCACCCAATTTAAAGAGATAATACATTAAGTACTCTACAAGTAGAAACACGTGCACACTCCTAATCATCTAAGGATATGTATTGCTATATTGAAAATGCAGGAAATGAAGTAAAATTAACTTGACCACTGTATTATAAGAAATATGTATAATATATAGGACAAATAAAAGTGCACAGAAACACATTCAGTGAAATAGGTGCAAGTTAGTAAAGCTGAGGATTTAAAACTGAAAAGGGAGGAGTTACTCTAGAGCTGTATTGTTCAATATAGTACTCACTAGCCACATGTGGTGATTTAAGTTTAAATTAGTTAAAATTAAATAAAATTTAAAATTCAGTTCCTCAATAGCCCTAGCCACATTTCAAAGTGCTCAGCAGTGCCTATCCTATTGGACTGTGTAGATTACACATTTCCATCATCACAGAAAATTCCATTGGACATTGCTGATGTAGACGATGTTATATATGACAGAAAGCAAAAGAACAATTAAGATGCTCAGAAATACACAGAAGAAAATATCTTTCTAGTAAGGAATTAGAAAAATACAGTGTTTAGATGTTGACATAAAATGTGTTCAGCACAAGCTAATAAAATGAACTAAAATTTTTGACACAAGAAGAAAATATAATTCTATGAATATCAACATTAACTTTCAGAATAGAACTAAAAATGAAGTCTTTATTAAAAAATAATAATTCTAATAATTCTCATAGATGAAAAATACAAGGCACCTCTATCTAGTAAAGAGATGTGTGCCTACAAGGAAATTTGCAAGCTTGACAGTGGTAATATAAGTTCAATAAAAATAATACAGAGAACAGAGTTGATATTCTGGTTTATGCCATATGGCAAGATGAGAGGTGTGGCAGAGGACCAAAGAAGAAGCATACTGTGTCAAATTGATCCCTAGCAAAAATCGCAATGAATTTTAAAAAGTATAGTTTTAAATCTAAAATAATAGGGGTCACTGTGATCAAATAAAGTTTATAAAAAGTTATTTACTTTATTATTATCATATTTATCAAACAACTCTATAATATTTACTATGTGCTTGGCACTGCTTTAAGCATCTTCAGATTCTATGAAAATATAAGAAACAGAGAAAATAAGATAATTAGTACCCTAATTTTACAGATCAGGAAACTAAAGACAGAGGTTAAGCAACTTGTCCAAGATCACACAGCTTATAAGGAGGCAGAACCCTGATTTAACCGAGACAGTGGGTGCAGCGTCTGTGCTCTAAAACAATTGAGCTTACTTGTGTTTTAAACCAGGGACAACCAAAAATACAGGGTTTCTGGATTTCTTCAAAACAGGAGGCAAAGTATCTCAAAATTCCCTTTAGTGTAGGAAATAGATATGTAAGCTGGGTAACATTACCATTAATGAGTATGTAACTAGCAGAGGAATGATATCCAATGAGTATCTATCTATCTATCTATCTATCTATCTATCTATCTATCTATCTATCTATCTATCATCTATCTATCTATCATCTATCTATCTATCTATCTATCTATCTATGCTGTGGGGGCCATCCTGTAAATTGTAGAATGTTCAGCATCATTCTTGACCTCTACTCACTAGAAGCCAATAGCTTCCCTCTCCCCCAGCCCTTTCCTCCCAGTCCTAGCAAATAAAAATGTCTGCAGACATTGCCAAATGTCCCTAGAGCACAAAATTGCCTCCAGTTGAGAACCACTGATATATATATAATGAACATATATATAATGGATTCATGATATGAAACATTAGACTGAAATAATGTGATAAAAGAAACAACATGAAATTACTTAGAAATAAATGTACAATGTTTCATTTACATTAATTCTGGATGGATTAAAGAGGTGACTTAAAAATAGATATATTAAGGTACCAGAAGAAAATATAGGTGAACTTAGCTCAGAGCTTGTGGTGGGTAAGGCATCTCTAAGCATGAACAACAACAAAAAATTTGTAAGAAAAAATAATATTTTTGGCATAATATTAATTATAACCTTGTTAGGCTAAAATACTATGAACTAAAGGCAAATGGGAAAAATATCACAGGGTGGCTTAGTAGTTAACATAATTAATGTGCAATGAGTTTTTATCATTCATAAGATGAATAATATTTCAACTGGTAATTGGGCAAACGACACATCAAGTGATTCATCATAAGAAATACAAAAAAAATAAGCTAGATGAAAATTAGTAATATGTTAACTGATATTAGTTAATCAGGCTATGTGAGGGTTTGTGGAAAGAAAAAAAGTTTGTAGAAAAATAGAATTAACAGATAATACAAATCTTTTCATAAACGTTCTGAAGTATCCTTGTATATTGGGACTAGACGAGCTCTAAAGCTTCTCCATTTTAAATTCTATCATGCTTTGAAACAAAAGCAACGGGAGTTCTATACCCAGAAGGAAAATATATATATTCAAGTGTTGCATATTTAATAAATCCCAAACAATAGAGAGCTGACAATAGTAACCAGCTGGTCCTTTTTTCTCCACTGAGAAGAAAATGAGTAGAACAAAACTGCAGCATTAAAGATTTAAAGAAAACTTACTTGACATCAGAGGTTGTTAGAGAGTAGAATGTGTTTAGATTGTTTCTTGGTGTTTGGATAAGTTCAAAAGAAGAAAAGATTCAAAAACAAAACCAACAGAACATCTCTGGAGATTTCTTTGAAAATAAAATAAATCATTCAAGTCTGATGGAAACTTAAATGCAATCCTAACAAAAGTAAAAAGGATACATGGGAATTACATTACATTTAAGATTGTCCCAATACCCATTCTTTGATGAAACTAATTTCAAAACTGTACCAAAATTTAATGTCCTTCCAAACAAAATTGCAATGCCTTGGCATGCAAAATACTACCTTCAGCTAAGTAGTGAAACCCTTTTACAGAGTTTGAATTTAATCCATTATAACCCATAATGCAGATAATTATTAAAATTACTAATATTTCAATAGAGACTAGCAATAATATAACAGTTATTATTCTATACACGTTACTATATTCCAGCCTCTGTGCTAAGCACTTTACATAGTAAGGACTTCTTTTAATTCTCACAGTAACCACACAAGGTGGATATTTTCATTCCCATGTACTGATGATAAATCAATAGCTCAGAGGATATAAGTGACTTTTATATGGTGAAAGAATTCCTTCTATTATCCCAAATTATTTGCTCATTTACTTTGACTGCATAGGGACTTTCATTCATCCAGTTTAATTTCACCTTGTACCATGTGCCCTAGGCCTACTTCGGTTTTCAGCTGAAGCTGTGGTGGACAGTTCCTGTAGAGTCTTGGTTGTTGTCAATATTTCACTTCAAGCTCAACCCTCCCCTCTATCTTCAGTTTTCTGCTTCTGAAATTTTTCTGAAGCCAGGGAGTTTGTTTAGCCTCGACAAGGCAGGAAGAGTGGGGGAAGTTAATGCTCCTGGAAGTAATTCTCCACCAAGGGCAGACAGGAGTTAGTGGATTAATGTATCATCTTTCTGTCCCATAGAGGGACAATTCCAAGGCACATTCTACAAGGTTCCTCAGAAGGGTCCAACAAGATTCAGCCTTACATGTCCCCAGTAATAAGTGGCTCAAAAATGCTTCCTTTAATTAACTTTTTCTTGTTTCCTTACTTATTCTTCCCATTCCCTTACTTCTATATCTTGAGATACCTCTCAAATAAATGACTTGCCCTCAAGTCATTGTATCAGACATTTTTTCAAGGGAAT